TATTGTAGCAAACATTTTCGTGCTGCGCTTAATGAGTTTCCAAGCGAGCGGGAGTAACAGGTTGTGCGATGACTGTCTATCTACGCTAATGAGAATTTGTATTCTGGGAGTCATTTCAAATAAAAAGGAGAAGAGAACTAGGTTCGTGTTTGTTATTAAAGATGCCAATTGAAATATTTTGAATCAATTAGGAAGTATTGTAAGGATAATATTGTCATGGATAAAAACACATATTTATGTAAATGTTGAGTGCAGTATAAATATTTATACAACAATACATATTGAAACTTGAAACATATTGAAAATATTGACTGAATTTTGATATTTTGGATTTTGGATCAAAATTTGTGCTGCATTTATAGAATTTCCATAAGATGACAATTTATATTTCAATATTAAGACCACAGAGAATTTCCAAACTATTTTGGATTTCGTTATATTCATGTGCATCACGTAATGATCGTAACATTATTTAGAGAGCAGTAATTTATGATGCGCCATAAAATGATGGCGGCGTGCAGAAATGCTGCACACTCGTAAATTTATGTTTCTAATAGTTTTGCCTTTAATTTTGCATTAAGTACAAAATAAAAGAATTTTGTGTTATTTTAAATCAAAGAAATATCCGCATTTTTCTTTAGTTGTAACTTAAAGGTTCTGTTTGAGTGTGTTATTGAGTTAGTTACGTTGTTGTTGTCTTTAGTTGTTGACAGTAAATGTCACGCATAAAACATTTGTTTTATAAATATCTAATTATGTTACGTTGTATCACCTTTTCTTTCTTGCTATTCTTGTAACTCCGTTGTTTTCGCTGTTGTGGGGACTATACAATTATTACGAGCAATTAAGATTATAATTGCGCAATTAATTTAATAATATGAAAGTGTGATAATCACTTTTATTCAAATCTTAACACTCTTGCTGTTAAGTTAAATTTTATTGAGAGAACAGCTCACATTTTAATGTTATTTATTTATGGACGTATTGCCTTTACTTTTACTACATATTTACTCCTAGATTTATTATATTTGTCTAGCTAGGAAAAATAGCAACACCCTTAGATGCCAATGACAAAAATGCGCAAATGTGTTTCTTTCTACGCCATCTTGCGCTCGCCGTTGTCCTATAAGAAAAACGACACTCTTTGGTGTCATAAACTAAAATTGCTTATTACTCCCGGCGGGGCCACCAATTCTAGTCTTTCTTTTGCGACTTTAGATGCCTTAACAGTTTAACCTTTAATTCAATTCATTGCTGATATATTAACGTCGTGGGCTGCACGAGAGCGCCCTAAAAATAAATTCCACCAGCACTTATTATTCAATTCTTCCCTCATTCATAAATTAACATTTCATAAATCATTCGACTTATAAAAACAATTATGTCACATATTTACATGGTTAATTCTATTAAATTAAACTGAACTCAGAGTTAGTCAAAGATTTACGCGTTAATTACCATAGTGCTTGTTGGGTAACAGTGACTTCCGTGCGCAATTAGGAGCAAAAATACTTACAGCTAATTACGATTAAATTGCGCGCACATATTATATGCGTTCTTATGTTTCCATTAGCGCTACAACATATCTGTTTAGTTTTGGTTCAAAGGTACAGTTTGCGGAGGTGGAAGTGAGAACAAATTTCAAAAAATAATAAACAATGTGTGTTTGGTTGTTGTGCTTGTGTTGGCGCTGAATTTGCTCGTAAATGTAGCGTTATGAACGTGGAGAAGCTCAAAACTCAGGCAGCGAATTTCATGTTTTGTGTTTTATCATCAAAGCGCTTGTCTAGTGTCGTTCTACAAACTACGATCACGTCGACAACTTGTTTTGTTGTTTTATTTTCTCCACATTAAATTTTCAAAGACCATTAATCACATTTTTGTAAAAAGCAACATTTTTTGATCAATATCATTTTAAAATTTATTATTTAAACATCCTGTATGTGGTTTTGCAGCTAAAACGTTAAAACTCTTAATTGCTTTGAATATGTAGAAGTGAGCGTGGCTCTTGCTCGTTTTACCACCAACGCGACGCAACAATAATCTGACTAGCGCCCACACCGTCACCGAAGTAAGGAGTAAGGAGCAAGGGATGCTTGTTTGATTATAATTCGCTGCTAGCAAATGTTTAATTTCTTGTTTTCGCGTCTGCGGGTTGCGCTCTACACACGCCGGTGCCACTTGATAGTTTGCTTTAACTCATTTCGCGAGTAAATATCACAACGACATTACGACTCTTGGAAAGCCACTGTTTGATTGCGTACTGAGCGATGAGTGGTTTATAGCAGGTACTCATATCAACTACACTACTTGCATTACTAATAAAGCATGATAGCAGATAAAGAAAATGTGACAAGTTGTTTTATTAAGTCATTTCGTTAATTGTATCCAAAATATTTCAAACAATTTAACGAATAAAGTAAAAATTATAAAATTTAATAATTAACTATTTTTAATTGATTAAATAAAATAATAATGCGATTAAAATTGGTGAGTGATTAAATTGCTACGAATAGTTTGTGTTATAAATAGTTCCGAACGTCGAAAAAATGTAGTCAGCGAGAATAATGTTCCGCGATTGCGGAGGATTGATATTTCAATCAAAAAATCTAATTGCCGAATTTCACGCAGCATTAATTCGCCCCTTTTTCTCGCCGTCGGCGTGTGCCTTTTGCGCGGCGCTGTGAGTTTGCCTCTTCGCCTACGTAAGTGTGTGGCTTTTGCGTTTTAGTTGCGGAGCGTTCGCTCCACGGCTGAAAAGAAGTTAGCGGTTTGATGGCGCGCCAGCGCTTACGACGCCAACTCGTCGGTTTACGGCATTTTCCTTTAGTTTTTCTTTCCGTAAGTTTCTTTTCTTTCGTTTTTTAGTCGTAACAGAACTGTGGGTGTCACTGGTGGAAGAAAAATCGGGCGTCGCGGATGTAATTGAGGACTTGTTATACTTTTCTTCATTTCGCATCTTTGCTTGGCACCAACCGCTACTACATCTTCTGCATTACCAGACTCACTCATTCTTTGCGCACTTTCTTAAAAATGCATTATTTTAGATGAGTAATGTTTATTTTTTCAAACTGTTGGCTGAGATTACAACTTAGTGAGATTATTTGTTTGGTTTCTTGAAAGTTGTGACCTAGTGAACTTCCATGACGCCTGGGACTGCCGATTATAATGTCATTTACTGTTTTGAAAAATTTTATTTCAGGTAAAAACGATTTGTTATGGGATTTTCTAGCCATATATTTATTTCTCCAGGGATAAAGTATAAGCAAACGTAATTTTTATATGATTTAGTTTAGATATCCCAGGAACTGAACAAAAGATGAAAATGTGCATTTCAAAGATTTGTGCAAGATTGATGTGCATGGGTGGAAATCGTAAAAATCAAAATTTACGATGTTTGCGTATGCGTATCAGCGGCAAACTGATGGATAGCAATAAATGACCTGGAAGGTTTAGTATTGCATAAACACGATCATGGGTCATAAACGCTTATGTCGCATAACACTAAATAACAATATAAATTATTATCCAAAAATTTAATGTCAAAATAATAAGATTTTAATATTTGTGCGAATATTAATTTTATTAAATATTTTTCAGGAACATCCAAAACGAGCAAAGGTTCCACAGCTTTCACATAGAATGCCTTAGCTTGTACAAGGATCCATATTTTGTCTTTATACATAAAATTTTTATCAAAAAAAGATAAAAAGACAAAGATATTTCGAAGACTTTAGAAACCCAACACAATATTCAATTAATAATAATGAAAAATATTTGGGATGTTCCACAATATAATTTTTACAAATTTTACGTATTTATGACCCACATTTTCGTATGAGCATTCTAATAAAATATGAATATGCAATGGTGAGACAGTAGAGAATTAGCACTAATTCGATATAATGTGTGCCAAGCTAATATGCATGAAAACTGAATTTGCCGTGATACGAATTAGCCGCAAGTTACTTGCGCCGAAGGGTTGGACGTGAAAGCGTGAGATTGGACGCTGTGAAAAGTGATGAGCGCGCGGAGTAAGAAAATTTAGCGCTCCGAGTACAACTTTTGCGATGACAAGTTGTTTGAAATAAAACGGGCTGGTTGGAACACGAGGCGCCGAGCCTTCAGCGAATATGCAAGATAAAGGGACGAGCGAAATGATTTCGCATCCTAAATATACTTCGAGCTTCTGTCGTTCGTTAAAGTCACTTGTTACGATATGAAATGCGACAAAATGAGTAAAATTGCTCGAAAATTAGGGCAAATAATCACAAAATGCACAAATTATATATTTTTGTTAAGTATATTACCAAACAAGTGAATATTTTATTATATTCCAATTTTATAAATAAAATGTTAAACATTTTGGTGTAAAAATGCATTCAATGGCAAACTAACTGAATAATTGAGTTTTAATTCCAATTTTGAATCATAAATGTATCAATTTTCCTGTGATATTTTAAAATGCAATTTTATATGACTACAAACCTGAACATATTCAAATATGCAAGTGAAAAATGATTATATGCATATATTAAATATTTATTAAGTTATAATTAGACATAATATTATTTATTAATGGTAGAAAATAAAGAAAAACATATTTATCTAAATTTTGTTTGCAGAAAAATACACATTTTATCTAAATGTATAATCAATGCAATGCACCTGTGCCACAGGCCCAATTTTTTCTGAAATATTTTCCCCTCTGCATTTCAATGTTTGCGGGCGGACAAAATTATTTTTGAACAAATATTTACCTCGCTGCAATCACGATCATGGTTCCATATTCCAAGCAATGTCAAAAAACAAGTAAAAAATGCAACCAGAAATATATTTGCGATTTATTTGTGGTATTTGTTTTTTTTTTTCTTCTACAAACTGTGATTTCATTTGGATGGCTAAAATATCACAGCTTCACACGAGGGGAAAGTGGCGAAAAGTTAAACGCATGAATATTCACACTGGCGCGGCGCTCATAATTTTTACATGAAACTCACGTGTGCGTTAACGAAGGACGAGGACGCCTGGGACCAGCTGCGGCGCTCCGTTGCTTCCGAGTTGGCAGACGGCGCCGGCGACGTCGGATAGAAGAGCACGTGCTTCTCGCCGGTCGACGCCTGTTGGTAAACGCTCGCCGCCGCGCGACCGACGCCGTTCATGTACGCGTCTTCTTCGGTCGGCATTTGTTGTTGCTGTGAGTCGTTTTTCAACCTTTCCTAATTCGTTTTGCACCCGCCGGGCACGTGCTAGTCCAATCAGTGCGCCAAAACAATTTATTTGCGTATTATTAAAGCGTCACGTTGTTAAATCAGCTTTTTATGCGTTTAATATCTTTAGGAATGTTTTTAGAAAAGTTTGTTTAGTGAAGAAAGCGAGTAAAAGTCGTAATGAGATTGTTATAGCCAATAACTCGCCGAATGATAATTTAACGTGAACATTTTTATTAGTTTTAGAACTTTTGCGTGAATCGTAAAAATCATAAATAAGGAAGTCGTAACGCGACTGCGAGGCGCGTAGGCGCGCGCGTGCCTTGCGAAGCAACCGCGCGCTCGTGCAGTCGTCCGGGGGGCGGCTGGCGAATGCGGCGAGGACGACGGCTGCTGCCGTACTGCGAGTTGTGGAAAGTGCGCGCGCGAGCAATGGTTTGCCGCGGGCAAACGGCGGCGGCAGTGCTGGCGGGAAGGGCGCGCGACGCGACGAGCCGCAGGAGCAGGCGCCGCCGCCGTTTTTGGTACAAGTGGCCGCTTCGTCTTCGCGCTCACGCCGATGCCACTCCAAGCTGCCTCAGAAGAGGTTGAACGAGCTGAACGTATGAATAAGCCAACAAAAACTGGATGAGTGTCATTATACTATGACATTATGACTGACATATGAGATGATCATCAAAAAAAATCTGATTTTCTAATAAAAACACAAAAAAATTAATCGTAGATATAAATTAACATAATCTATTTTCGCCGAATTTAAACCCTTTGTAATTTGCATATGAATAAAAACAATTAATTTCGACTCCTTGTTTTCTCCACAAATTATGTACGAGCGAAATACGCGTAAAAACTAACCGAAGTCGGTTTTACTCCGCTGTGTTCTAGCTGTTTGGTAATTATTCATTATACGTCTGCCTAGTAATTAAACTGATTTATTGCGTTATTATTATAGCGAGACGTATGTAAGCTATGATTTTCCTGCTCTGGCTGGCGTTTTCTTGCCGTTTCGCTGTTCGCAGGCGTCGCTGTTACAATCAAGCGCGATGCCTTGAGCGCCACTCACGAATGCCGCGTTTTAAATTTCGTGCTAATAATGTAGGCATAAAATTGCGGTTTATTAAAAACTTGCCTCCCTGTCATTTCCGTTTGCTTTGTTTGTTTGCGGTACGTAATGACGAAAGTTCATGCTGCAGAAAAATAGCTCGCAAATGATTATAAATTGAGCGACTTATTATTGGAGGACGAAACAGAAACTTGATAATAATGATTAAGTCGGTAATGCTGTTATATTGGAGTTTGCTGTGTAAGGCATTAAGAGGACTAAAAGAATGCTAAGAATATTAGGAAATACTTTGCCGAAACGCTGAAATCAGTTCGCTGTCGAAGTAGCGTTTTCTTCAACTTCCTTCCGACGTGGACACCAGTTGGGTGATGTTAGAAAAGATGAATTGTCTTGCAACTAGTCGTTGTGCATAGTCAGAGGAATCCAGTTGGCAGGCTTAAAGAGTACAAGAAAGTCGTAAAATGTATTTCCGTCTGTAAGGACGGATGATGCCGGATGGCATTGTTCCGCCGTGTGGAAAATTATGAAAATTGAAAAAGATCCCGGCTGGGGGTCCAACTTTCCGACCAGATTGCACCGAAGCCGCTTCAAAGCACGCTGAAGAACTCTGCCTTTGGTTTGTGTATAATGTGCGCGCGAGTACCCGTCGCGTCAGTAAGATGAACGAGACGAACCTGCGGGAGGGCAGGAAATAGTCCCGTGTCTATTATGAGAATTTTCTTACGTTTTGTGAACGATCTGCGCGGCTAAAAGAGAAGCACCGCTTGCAAAAGGCGGCTCAAAGCTCATATGAACGTCGGGACCAAAAGCGTTCAACGTCGTGAAAACGAGCAGGAGAGAAGCGAATGAAAGTCGCTTATTCTTCGGTCGGCATTCGAAGATCACTTCCGCCAATTTAACAGCGATATTTCCTACCTCCTCCCTGGCACATTTTTCGGTTGCTGCTTCTTTCTTTTTGAGCTCTGCGCAATTTCGCATTTTACTTTCTTATATTTTCATTTTCCACCCGCCGAAAGCAATAGGCTCAATAGTCCACTTTCGTGCGTCGTTTGATCGTACGATTTTTTCTGAGGGCGAGTGCAAACCGCATTTGGTAAGGTCTTGACTTCTTTCTGGCACCCCGCAATGGTTCAACCATTATCAACGCAAAGGTTTTTTCTTATTTGTCCCATTCTTTATATTTTGACTTCCGGTCTTTCTTTAAGGATGAGTTAACAAGTCGTACATTACGGGGCAGAAAGTAAGTTATATCATAATGGTCAAATTATGGGCACAAATTTCAATCCTTTTTACTTTCACTTCGTTTCACATCGAAAACACATTCAAAGAAAGCGCCTAACCTTATTCTTCATATAGAATACAAATATTTATAAGAAATTGATTCCAATCGAAATAAAATCGAATAATCTTTTATTTTCCACGCTCGTCGGTTAGAGTTTACCCAAGTTTTTTCTGAACCCTCAACTTCTCCTTTGTCTTTTTTATGTCTCATTCAAAAAAATAAGGAGAAACGCCGATAAAATAAAGAGGAAATTTAAATTTACATTTGCGATTGATTGAAGCACGGCCCACAAGACCGCAAAAAAACTGAAACGCGCACGTAAAAGAAGGGAAAACAGATAGAATCACAAATAATAAATCACCCGATCAGATTTCCACACGTTTCCACACGTTTTCCCCGCAGCACTCTTCAACAGATTTCGGCATTTCGGGCGAATTCAACAGCATCATTTGTCTCGCCCGTCGCCGGGACTAACTCGTCGTCGTTCCCAGCTCGCAGCTTCCCGAGAGAAGTCACAAACTCCACGGTTATCTTGAATTTTCAACTGGTTTTTATTTGCTGCGCTGTCCACATAATCGGAACTGATTTCCGGATAATCTTTACGCAATATTTAAAAGACCAGGAGGTTTAGATATCGAATAATTGTAGTGTTAGTTGAATAATGGTCAATTTTGCAGGAAAAATGTTTGATTTTGAATTGGGGAGTGAATTTGACTCTACAATCTCGGATTTATACGTTACACGTCGAATTTTATTTAGATAGCAAAGTATAAGCTTGCTTTTAGGGCGCTTACGGTTCAACTATAAATTATCCTGTCCATTTTCTAACCAACTATCTCCAGATATATAATATGTCAATTTTTGATAACAAAAATTTTTGATTTTGAATTTTGCATTTTAAATTATTTTTCTCTGTTAATCCATGAAAATTATTTACTTCAACATCATCTTTATGCTGTTTATAATCACCACAATACCAGCTATTTCCATTAGTTGCACGTTAAAAATGCATCGCTAATCCTAATAGTAGACGAAATAAAACCCTGCGGCACTCGCGGTGTCCCTAATAGACGACGAAAGCTTACCGAATATGCAATATGCCCAACCGCCGGCGCACAGCAAACCTGTGGATGCAAAAGTGCAAAAATCGTCGACGAGCCCAGCAGGAACGCGTCGCCGTGAAGAAACATGCAAACTCCTTCCAGGCATCATCGTATAATAGACACTTTTAAGCGAAAATCCCAGCCGAAAGCTTATAAAATATGTATTATCACGGACAAAAATCTCCGCTGCACGCTGAAATATTCATCAGGGTGCGCTTCCCTTTTTTTCCCATTCGCACTTGTGCGCCACGGTGCGCTCGACCATACAGCGCGCGCCATTCAATCCTCCCATCTGTTCATCTATCCGCGCAATGAGGCGCACACGTAAGTACTTGCATGTAAACACTGCCAACATCGCAAACGTTGTAACACGGGCAAATAGAGTGAGCACTTATGCAAAACAAAACTATCGCGAAGGAGATTTACACGACGCGCAGTTTTCACGTGGGAAATTAAATTTTAAAAACTCTAATCGAATCAAAATTTTAGTTAGTTTTATGAGATTTTACGGCGTGTATTTTGTGGTAGGGAATTTGGAGTGAAAGAAAAGGAGGTAATGTAAGATGGCGGCTATTTGAGAACTTTGTATTCTGTGAGACGCGCTGCGCTGGCCAGCGACTGGAGGGTGTAAATCTTAATTTGGATTGCCGAATAGCGCGGATGTAAATATAAATTATCCAGTATTAAATAAATCACTTGCGTTCAGCCTCGTTAATGTCCAAACGGTAGCGTAGCGTATAAGTGGAGATGCGCTGTGAATGCTATCAGATCCTCTCTGAGGGGAAGCAACGCCACACAACAAGAGCCACTTTTGTAGACTTTTTGTATTTCCTCATATTACACCCAACCATCTACTCGTAGAACCAAAAACCCATAAAAAATACAATGAAAAATATCTTGGTCAAGTGTGTTGGAGGCATTAATTTCATTCCAGGGTTAAAAGTCCAGTTCTGACCGGTTGAAGACCTAATTTTCCCACGATTGCATCCTGCATTCACTTCGTACGTTTCGGGCCGTATTTTTTATTGCCCATCTGATGTGTTGGGGCAAAGCTGAGATGCCCCACGTCACGTGCGACTAGATGATGCGTACGAGTTGGAAGGGACATAAAAATCGAGGCACAGGTCGAGAAAAGAACCTGGCAGTGGTTGTGTATGCGAAACAGAAAACAAACCCGCTCATTAATCTAAGTGGAACGACTATTCCAATTTTATGTGCGGGGATAAGTCAAGTTTTGCAATGAAACGAAGCTAATTTGTAATTTGTTCATTTTCTAATGGCACGTTACAATCTATTTTAGTATTTTAGCCAATCAAAGGTAAACTTTTATCAAGAAAACTAGGTTTAGTCAAACAGCGCCCTCTATGATTAGCTTAGATAAATAATTTGTATTTAAAAAGCGCCTTGTGCTGCTCCGTAGGCAAATGCGCAGGCGCTTGTGCATAATGCAAGTACATAATGAATATTATGTACGGCTTGGCCGTCCGTATATTAAGTACCACTTTTTGTGTCTAGAAACTGTGGAAAAACTGGCGCTGTACAAGGGGAAGTAGAAAAACAAATTTAATTTAACTACAGTTCCCTACTGTAATTTTAAAATATAAAATTCACTTACAAGAGTAAATAAGATCATGGTAAACACAACGTCATTACATTCCCGTTTGATAATTTATTAATAGTACTTACATCCCGATGAATATTTAAAGAACCAGACTTTCCATCATCCAATCTGTAACTTTAAAAGCGCGATGCGAGCAAGTGAACAAGCCGAAACTTGCCCGTATCTATCATCAAGTAAGTTGACGACAAATTGTAATAAACTAAACTAGCTTACAGTTCCTGCTTCCGCTATAATTATCCACCGTATGTATTACAAAATTTAGACGTTTCGAAAATTTGTTTCCGATCTGAAAACGTTCAACAACCGTCGGTTTGTTA